TATACAAGGAAGGACTCTGATTGATGTTTCTTCTTCCTTTTCCCAAGGACTCTCCACAGGTGCGGGAGAAATCCTGTCATCAGGTTGTGTGTGTGTGCACACGCGTGCAAGCATTCTCACGCTTGCACACGCGTGTGCCAGGGGAGGGGCAGCCTCTCCGTGGGAAGGGCACCTGTCAGGGTAGGCATCTCTCCAGGATTGTTGGGAGCAGGAGGGGCAGGCGGGCTGGCAGGTGGGTGGGGCCTCAGCTGCGTCAGCCTGTTCCAGGCCAGGAGCAGCAAGAGGGGTGACTCAGGTGGCAGGGTTCCCCCTGCTGCTTCCCCCCACCCAAACTCTCAGCAGGGGGAGGGGATTGCTCAGAAAACCAGGGGGACAGAGCTCAAGAATACAGTCCCAATGCTTGGAGCCCGTCCTGTTGAGTTCCTGAAATTCAGGAATCGCACCTTGTTGGGGGGTTGGGGTAGGTAAGGGGGTACCTACTGGGGGATCGTCATGCTCTGGAGAGGTCCTGACCCTCTTCCAGCCTCTCCCTATCCACCACCACCTCCGGCCCCTGGTATCTCCCCCTGGCCTGTGCTATTTCTGGCTGTCCTATCTCTGTTTTCTTGTCTCCCTGTTTTCTTTTTGACATTCCATCCCCGCCCACACGCCTTGCAGTGAAGTGTCTTGGGAGCTACCTCTATAATTAAGAGCCCTCCCCTGGCCGGCTGGGCACACACCCTCAGGACCAGGCTGTGGCCATCTGTCTCTGGCCTCCAGGCTCCTCCCCCCTGACAGAGGGCAGCACAAAAAGCAGGAGCACCCCCCCACACACACACACACAGGGCCCTTGCACCATCCTGTGTGCTCCTGCTCCCAGCAAGGCCTGGCCCCGCTCCCGCCAGGAGAGCTTGGGAGCCAGAGGCCCTTCTGCAGCCATCTCCCCAGCCCCGAAGGGATCCCACTGAGCAATCCCCCCACCCCGACACCAGCCGGCAGGGGCCAGAGTGCAAATGGAGGCCCGCATACAGACATCTAAGTTGGGCACAAATCAAGCCAACAAACTGTTAAGTAAGGTGTACCTTGACAAGTATACCCCTACAGCGACCTGAAGGGCCAGGATGGAACTGAGAGTTCTGATTCCTTCTCAGAGCACAGCAGCCTGGGGTAACTGTTCCCTGACCCCCAGTGCCTGGGCCATCTCCCCTTCCCTTTGCACCCCTGGCTCCCCACTCACTAGCACATGACCAAGGGCTTCCAGCATGTGTGTGTAGATACCCCAGCAGCATGTCCTCTGTGTCCATCCCTCCCCCATCCCTGCCCCTGTCACCCCTTGGACCAAGTGTGCACGTAACACACATGCTGCTTCTGTCCATTCTCAGGAGAAAGAGCCAGAACAAGAGAACTACAGGCCACCCAAGCAGGGTCAGCTCTGGGCAGGGAATTCCGGTTTCCCGTCCAGAGTGTGGTCTCAAAGGGGAGAGGGATGAACACTATGTAGGCTCCTCCCCTTGTTCCTGTGTGGAGGGGTGCTGTCCCCTGCCCCCCCCCATGGGAGGACCAGGGCTGAGGCCCCTTCCACATGCCTGTGGATGGCTCTGCCCCAGGGCCGAGAGAAGGCCAGCGCTCAAGATGCCCCTCGCTCTGTGCATTGCCTCTGATTCCAGTCTGCTCCCCCAGGAGTAACTTGCAATTGTCTGTTTTTCCTGCTGTGGAAAGGCAGCGTCATCAGCCTGAAGTTTAGCCACCCATCTGTTCACCCCATCTTCTTCTATAAGATTTTTTTAAAAAATTCAGGGAGCCTGCTGTGGGGCTCGATCCCAGGACCCCGAGTTCATGACCTGCTGAAGTCAGCTGCTTAACCGACTGAGCCACCCAGGTGCCCCCGATCTTCTTTTGTAGAGGTGGCCATCCCTGCGGCCACCTTGGGTCAAAGAGGAGGGAAGAAGGGTGTGTGTGTGTGTGTGTGTGTGTGCTGGGGGAGAGTGCTGACGTGCCTGGTGTTTGTATGTGTGAATCTAGGCCCGTCAGTGTATATCCCGGAGGTATGAGTGCAGATGGTTGTGTGTGTGGCTTTTGCACATCTAAATCCCTGACAGAGAGGGGGCCGAGTTGGAAGACAACAGCATCTCTCCTAGCTCCTTATATGGCCCAGAGGCCTGCGGAGGATGAGCTGAGGAGAGCGGCCTGGCTGTTGTTCACCTTCCTCCAGGGAAGCACCTCCCTGGCCCCCACCCTCCCAACTCCCCCACCCCAACATTGGACCCTCATCATACCCCTCTTTGCTGGTAACTTCCACCTCTGGGGAAGTTTGGGATGAGCCCCTTGATGCCCTTTCCTTCTTTGCTCTGAGAACCCAGACAGCTGCAAGGTTGCATTAACCATTTGTGTTCTTCATGGCCCAAGGACTCTGCTTCCACTGAGCTCTGGGCAAGAGAAATGAGCTTAAAATTCAGGCATACGAAGTGAAGCTAGACATAAGGAACTTACAATAAAAGGAGACAAGGGTATTCATATAATATCTGGAGACTCTCCTTTCCTGGAGATTTGTCAAACAGAGAAACCCCTGCCTTGAAAGGCTTGGAGGAAGGGGACTGGGTAAGATGTTCCTGTGGCCTGTCCTTCAAGTTCAAGCTACCGGGGAGTCTGTGGCCACAGAGACTCTCATCCCTGTCCCTAGGCACCTCCTCGCCCCTTGAGACCAAATCCTCTACACAGGCAGCTCATTGTAGTAAACATCATTTTCTGATTCTTTTCTGTATCCTACAGATGAATCCTCAGTGCCTGGCAGGCACACAGTAGGTGCTTAATAAATGTGCCAAAAATCCCTTGATCTGGGAGGAGTCACAGCTCTTATTCCAGTCTTTCCTGCTGCTGTGGGTGGTACCTCCACCCAGTCCCAGCCTGATGCTTAGCTGTGGGGCCAGCATGTTGCAGCTTGTTCCAGGCTGACAAGCAGGGAACATTCTGGGGAGATACACACACATACACAGAGGCTTTATTCTGAAGCCCTCTTTGTGCCCCCCTTCTCCACCAGGCTCTTCCACCTCTCTGTCATCAACCAGCCTGTATGCAGAGAGAGGAAGACAGGAAGGAAAGAGTGAAGTCAGGCTCCAGTCTGGGAAGTATGTGTGTCTATGGGCAGGGCTGGGGGTGGGGAAATGGGCAGGGGATGGGGAGAGTAGGGAGAGGGAGGAAGTGAAACCCTAGGGCTGGGAGCTCTATTCCTCCTAAGCTGAGGGCTGGCCACTGTACAGCCTGGCTGGGGGTTGGGGGGAGCAGGTGGAGGGGTGGGCAAGGATAAGGTAGGGAGGAAGATACTCAGAAAAGCAAGAGGAGGGGGAGTCAAGGAAACTAAGTGAAGGGCAGTGGCCCTGGCATGTGGGATGGTACCTGGTTAAGGATGTTGATGTCTCCCTGGCCCCCTCCAGGAAAGCTTCCTGGATGGCACAAGCCTCAGAAGTGAGACTGTTTTGGCCATCATTCCTTTCTCTGGTGGGAAAGTGGTCAAGTATACTGCTGGGATGCTAGCTTTGGGACTATAGATCTTGTTTGAGGGAGGACCTTTTCATGACAACCACTCCCCCAATTACCACACACTCAGAGTGGCTAAGATGACCTGTTTACACTTAGCTCTCCGGGAACCCTTCGAGGGTTAGGATCCTTGTGGTTTTCTGTGTTACCAGAGTCCAATCTGGTGCCTTGAATGAATGTCTGTAGTAAGCTCAGCAGACTGTACAACCACGAGAGCGGGCACCCATTTCATTAACCACAGGACGGAAAGACCCTTGTCTTCTTAACTTGCTTGCCTATTGGGAAGTTCTTTTTGATTACTAACCCACAATCTTCCACCACTGAGGGGGCTGCTGCCCCATTTCTTTTATGCTAGTGTTGATTTCCTTTAGATCTGATGCCTGTTTTTTTTTTTTTCCCAAACCCACCACTACTTTCTCTTTGTTCCAAATCTTTGTTCTTCTGTCTCTGCCCAGAATATTTGCTTTTGCCTTTCCCCCCACCCCTCCCCGCTGCTTTTGACATTTTATGTCTAAGCTATTATTCCACCAGGGGCGCATGCGTTTGGTGGGCCTTGAAATTAGAAGAAAGGGGTGCTAGTGGAGGATATGCCACTTTGTTGTTTTGTGACTTCTCTGAATTTCAGCTTCCCCATCGTTGAAATGAGGCTCGTTTTGTTGTCCTAATTTTTTTTTCAGAATTGTCATGAGAATTAAAAAAAACCCAAAAACCCTCCATATCTTTAAATTCTAACATTTAGCGGTTGTCCAAATGATTTCACAAACCTTAATTTTATTCCCGCACCCCCCATGAGACATACAGCTAATGTACCCATTTTACAGATGAAGAAAAACAGGATGTAAGATGAAGTAACTGGCTGAGATCATACAGCTACTAAGTGGCAGAACCCAAACCCAGGCCTTCTAATTCGAAATCTCATGAGCACTCTTGTCTTTGGGGAAAAAATCCCAACCTAGAAAAAAAAGCCTATGAAATGCTATACAAATATGTTATTATCCCTCTGTGGCAAGGGTGAATAAGCGCAAAGAAGCATCATGCCTGACGCTGAGTTGGCTGGCCTGTAAAGGCGTCTGTCCTTTCCCATGGCGCCTCCTGACTCACCTGTTGGACAGGTAGGGGGAAGGGGAGAGTAATGAGTCTCACCTGCTCAGAGCTAGGGTGGGGCAAGACACACCCCATCCTTCCATTGGTTCTTTCCTTAGTCTTACTGACAATCCCTTGCCCAATCAGGAGGAAGTAACCTTCTATCTGCCAATAGGTGCGGAGTGAGGATGGAACCTCAAGTTGGAGGCCGTCCCCAGAGCCGACTAGCAGTCCCTGGGGCCAATGGCCAGCGGATAAACAGAGGCGGCGGTGGAAGAGGACTGGGCGCGAGGCTCCGCCCCTCGATGGGACAGTCAGGAGAGGCAGCCAGTGAACCCTCATCAGCGGGTGGGCGTTTCCCTCGGGGGCGGAGCTTCGAGGGGGCGAGAGGCGTGGCTTGGCTGTCAGGTCCTTTCGCCTTTTGTTCGGTTACTGAGTTGCTGCCTTGGCCAGAGTTCGGAGCAGCCGCCGCCCGAGCGCGCCGAGCTCAGTTCGCTGCCCGCGCCGGCTCCCAGCCCGGCCCGACCCCTACACCCAGCCCGGCCAGGCTCCACAAGCAGGTGCGGACGATCGGGGCGGGGATCGCTGGGGCGAGGGAAGGGCGGCGAGCGGCCGAGAGGCCGATCCCCGCCGTCTCCGGGCAGGTGAGGGAGCGAGCCAGGGAGCGCCACCCTGCACTGGCGGCAGGGGGCGCGCTGGGGTCCTTGGGCGCGGCGACTCAGGGGGCGCGAGGTTCCGGCCTTGTGCGCCGGGGGCTGCGTGAGCTGGAGATCAGAGAAGGGCGGGGAGGGATGAGGGCAGGTGCCTCTGGGGTCGCGCCTGACCTGCGGCCGGTGGAGCTCGCCCGACGCCGCATCCCCGACTCTTCGCCCTGACTCTTGTGAGGGAGACTTTGCCCTGCTCCTCTGCGTCCCAGGGCTCACTCTGTAGTCAGGAATGTACAGTTCGGGAAACTTGCTGCCGCTGGTGTCTTTGGGGCCACCCTCACCCCACCTCACGCGTCATCTTCGCTTCCCCTCCCTCTCTACTCCCCCAGGCTTGGGTGGGGCCCTATTGTCTGCGCCCGGCTTGCCCGACCGTGGGGGCCGAGCGCACATTTTCCCAGCGTCGCGGGCCCCACCTGCGGAGCAGGTGAGCACTCAGTGCAGAGGCCCAGCCCTCCAGCGCCCCGGCCTCGTCGGTACTGTACCTGCGGCGCCTCCCTCCGCCCCGGTGGGTGCCGGGCTAGGGCTCCGCCATCGGAGGTGGGATGGGATGACAGCGGGACTGGTGCAGGGCCCGGCTGCGCGCCCAGCTGGTGTCTGGCACCCGTGGCTCGGACTGGGGTCTGAGCGGAGGGGTCGTGCCTGGTTGGAGAATTCCCTGGCCCAGTTTCCAGTAGCTGCTGCTTCCAGAACGTCGACAGGGGAACAGGACTACTCTTCTTCTCTAACCTCTTATTGTCGAAAAAATCACCCCAAACAAACTTTCTAGGAGTATTCACGGCAGCTTTCTCTGCGGGTTTAACTGCCTCCTTGCCCAAGGGCTTTCCCCCCAGGCTTAGGGGGTCCGTCTTGGGACAAAGCCCCCTCCCCCAGTTGGCCCGGCTGAGCCCGGGCCAGTGCCTGCGCTCTGACCCTATCCTCCCTGCCCCCACCTCCATCCTGTTTGCTGGGCCCCTGGGGCCCGAGGTGGGGGCAGGGGTTGGGGGGTGGGCCAAAGGGGAAGCAGCTTCTTCCTTCTCTTCCTGCCTCCGGGGACCACCACACCCCCTCGCTTGAGGCCAGTGGCTCTCTCCCAAGCTTTGCCCCCTCCCCAGGAATGGGGGTGGGGCGGCCAAACTGAAGAGGGTGGGGGGAGCGATTGTTCTGGCCTTTTTCCCCCTCTACCCCATCCCCCACCTTATATAGCTGGCTGGTCTTTGAGGCCGGAGAGTGTGGAGCTTGGGGTTTGGTTTCCATTTGATTTCTGGGTTTTGAAGGTGCATTCCTTCGGGAGGCTTTTGCAGTCAGTCTCCCAGCCACCTCTTTCTGAGAGAGCTGGGTGGGGTGAGTGGGACAGGCTATGCGGCAGAAGGTTTCGGGAGAGCTGCATGAGGGCTCCCTTCACCCCAATTTCCTGAGAGCCCCTTCCCTAGGCAGAGTTGGAGATCACCAGGCTTTCAGCACTGGTTTTTAAAAATCTGAAGTGTGGTCTTTCTGCAGAGATTTGGACGCCAGCCTCCTTGGGGACCAGAGGGGAAATATAAGAGCCAGGCTCTCCCTTAGTTCGGGGGTGAAGGGAGTATGGAGGGAATCAGGGTTGCTTGGCCTGACTCAGTTGGGAAGACCCTACCACCTCTTTCCTGGTTGTAGTTGGGGGAGTGGGCAGGGGTCAGACCCGTCCCCGTGGAGTGCCCTGAGTTAGGGGGAGGCTGAGGAGGGAACCCCATCCTTCTTCTCTAACGGGTAGTGTACCTCTGGGGAGCCAAAATGTCATGGAATTTGGGCAAAAATAACCTGTTTTCCCTCTGCTGTGTGCCAAAGTGGAGGAGGGGAAGGCATTGTAATTACATTGGTAAAATGATTAGTTTAGCTAATCTGGTCTGTGACTGTGATCAAAAGATAATACTGAGGAAGTATTGCTAGGAGGTGCCTGGTGGCAACTGGTGGTTCTCGGACGGGAGGTAGAAGGGGGAAAAGGTAGGATCCAATGAGTCATTTCTTGCTAGATCAAGCACCAGCTTGGGTGACAGGAGCCCTCTCCACCCTGCCCCACCCCCATTTCCTCTGGAACCTCTGTTCTGGCTGCCAGCGCTGAAGCTCCCCGCTGAGGCTCCCCGCTGGAGGCTCGAGGGGCAGGTCCTGATGAGGGGCTGGGGAGAAGAGCCACCTGAGAATGAGATGGGGTGATTGACTGTCAGTGGAAGGGCCGTGGGCCAATTCTGAGCACAGTGAAATGGGCGTGGACTGAGCTGGGTTTGAATCTCAGCTCTGCCACTCATTACCTGTGTGGCCTTGGTCAGGTCCCTTCATCTCTCTGAGCCTCAGTGACCTCTGCAAAATGGGAGTAATACCCACGACCCAATAAGTACTTGACAAATGGTAACTAAAAATGCACGGGAGGACTTTACAGATACCAGCACTTTCCTTTGAGTGTTTTCACTTATTCCTGACGACAATCCCTAGAGGCAGGTAGCATTACCCCATTTGGCAGATGAGGAAACTGAAACTCAGGGGAGTTAAGTAACTTGCCCAAAGTTGCACATCGAGACCCAAGCAGGGTCAAGACTAGCCTTTGGGTCCTCTGGTTCCAAGCTCAGAGCCCATCCTGCTGTATCATGTATGACCCAACTGCAGCTCTGGGAAGAACCTGCTCCTGCTCTTTGAGAGCCTCTGCCTGGGAGTTTGGGGAGAAGAGAATTCTAAATGACCCAGCCAGGTTTGTGTGGGTGGTGAAGGTGGGGGCAGGTTGGTCAGGAGGGGGTGACTCATGTCCTAGCCTCCAGCCCTCTGAAACTTCCCTGGCTTGGTTTTTAGTTCCTGGGGGAGGGGGCCATCTCCCCAGGGCCAGGGGCTGTGGCCATGTGTGGAGGAGGCTGGTGGGGCAGAGGAGGGCAGGGGTCAAAGCTGCTGCTGTCTCCTGGCTTGCGCCGGGCCAAATCCTGGGCTGTTCTGGGCTTGTCCCTGTATAGGGAGTGGGGCTTCCTGCTTTGCCTGGGGCTGGGGCTGTGCCAACATAAAGGGGAGCCTGGTCCCTGGGGAGGAGAGAGAAATGAGAGTCAGATTTAGGACTGGGCCACTGGGCTATAGGATTGTGCCAGTCAGTACTGCTTGGCTGCTCTGGGGCCGAGAGCTGGCTGTCCTCTGCTTGGGAGCCTGGGAGCCTGCAAGCCTGGGAGACTAGGAGACTGGGAGCCCGGGAGCCTGGGAGCCTGAGAACCTGGGAGCCTGGGAGACTGGGAACCCGGGAGCCTGGGAGGGCCTTTCTGGTGATGGGGTGGGGTCATCCAGAGCCTTGGTCCCTGAGGGATGGGCTGGTGTCACTGCCTTCTGAGACCTGTCACCTCTGCCAACCGGGCACCTGACACCAGATGGGCCTGGAAAATGGGGCTTCTCTCTGTGTGGGTGCAGCCTGGGCACTGAGCCTGTCAGCACTGGGCTTTTGGATCCCTTGAGGTCAAGAGGGGCCCCTGGGCATGGGGATTATTGATCCTGGAGAAGAGAAGGCTGAGGGGACTTGATGTGACAGAGAAGGAAAGAGAATGATCTCAGTCCTGACTGATGCTATAAAGAGGGTGCTGGGCTTGTAGTTTTCCATCACCCTTGGGGATACAAGGGCCATGGGGACTGATGCTCTTAGGGAAGGAATGGAGGCTAGACAGGAGGAAGGACTTCCTGTCTGTTAGAGATGAGCTCTTGCATTGCTGAGTAAGAGGGAGAGATGGAAGGTCAGAGGCGACTCTTCTCTGAAGAGGAGGAAGCAGGGTTCTGTCTGCGGGAGTTGGAGGAGGGCCATCGTGCCCGAGAGAGAGGGCAGGCAGGAATCAGTACCTTTGGTGCCAGTCTGAGGTTTGTTGGGGTCCCTGGGGAAACACGCAGGGTGGTGTCTTCTGGGAGAAGAGAGTCCTGGTGGTAAGAGGGACAGGTATCTGTGAGCCGGCTGGCCCAGTGACCCTTGTGAAGAGAAAGAGAGGTGTGGCTGGAGCAGGCCACTCAGCTTTGTGTCCCTGCAAGTGACATTTTGAGGCCTCTCTCCTGGGACATGGTTGAATCTGATGGCGGTCTGGGGGCATGGACTGCCCCAATTTCTAGCAACTTCCTTGGCCAGGCCTGAAGAAAGCTCTTTGCTCAGCCTCCTGGCACCTCAGCCTTTGGGGGCCCTCAGGACAAGAAGCTCAGCTCTCTGTGACCTGCAGAGTGTGGGTTCACAGGTCTGCTTTCCTTCTCCACTGTAGGGACACTGGGCTGAGTGTCTGGGACAGGCAGAGTTGGGATGGGGCTGGGCAATCAGTATGCTTATTTGGGGGATGCTGAGGAGGCTGGACTCTGTGACACCTCCTCCCTCTTGATTGAAAAAGTAACATCTGATCATTGTAAAAAAATAACTGGAAAGTTTAGAAAAGTTTACAAGAGAAAAAAAAAAAATCATCCATGATCCCAACACTAACGTTTCTTTCCCTCTCTTTTCTTGTTTCTTTCTTTCTTTTTTTTTTTTTTTAAAAAAGATTTTATTTATTTGACAGACAGAAACACAGCGAGAGAGGGAACACAAGCAGGGGTAGTGGGAGAGGGAGAAGCAGGCTTCCCGCTGAGCGGGGAGCCCGATGCGGGGCTCGATCCCAGAACCCTGGGATCACGACCTGAGCCGAAGGCAGACGCTTAACGACTGAGCCACCCAGGCGCCCCTCTTTTCTTGTTTCTTAACCTCTCTCTTGATGATCTCACGCTCTGTAGACAATAACAAATTTTAACCAAACCTTTATCCAAATCCTAGTTTTCTCCAGCAAATGCAGAACAGGGAACTCAGGGTTGGTTCTTCCCTGTACTTCCCGGAGAGGGTCAGGCAGATCCCTGCAGAATGAAACCCTGGGGGATCACCC